AAAAAAGAATTCCTTAGCAAAAGCAACTCCTAGTATTACACATGTACAATCAAAGCAGCCAAGCTTTACACAGTTTTAAAAACTAAATTCAGCTTTGTTTGTCTTTTTAAAATAGAGATAGAAAGGAATTCTCTGTTATTTGACACTTTTATGTGTATGAAAATGTGTGTTGATATAGATATCAATAGGTAGTAGCGGCATAAAACCTGAATTAACACACTTAGGCAAAAAGCTATTTTTCAAAGTGAAAATACTTACAGAGGAAAGATTATTCTTGGAAACTTAAGAAACATTACTATCATCAGTAGAATAAAGGAGTCCTTTTTGGAGACTGTCACATTAGGCTGTTGATAAATTTAGATTGCCAATATTGCGTTCACATCTTAGAAGTCAGAGACCCCAAGTTTTGGTTTCGTCTAGAAGTTAAAGAAGCTATTTTATTTCATAAGCTTGCTATTTGCTCTTCCATGGACTGTTAAGAACTGCCAAGACTGGCTAAATATGGAAACCATTTAAAGAAATCTTATTAAAAATCCAACTTCCTAAAATTGAACCTTAAGTGAACTCAAGCATCAGAGGAAACTAGCAAAGTGAGACGAATATTTAGGGCACAACAGATTAAAGAGGAGGTTATAGTACAAATACTGGAGATAGGAAACATTTTTAAACTGTATGCATAATTTGCTGTATTTCCTCAAAATTTGTAAAAAGACAATTAAAACTCAAGAGAGTGCAAGGGAAAGACTCAGGTATATCACAGTCAAAGTCATGGCTCAGCTCCTTTCCTTGGGTGATTTTTATACATCTCTCTCTCCAGGTTTTTTTAACCTTGAAAATCAGCAGGCATATAAAAAGTAAAACATGTGCACTTTTTTTCTCTACTGAAAATCCAAAGGAGAAAAACAATGAGAGGAGCTAAAATAAGGCTATTTCAGCCAAGATTTTTTCTTTCAAAAATTTTAATACTACCAGTGTTTCTCTATCTCATATATTCTATTTTTCCTCCCAATTTGTGATTTTCTAAGTGTCTCTATTTCTTATCCATGATTAAATTGTGTGTACTTTACTTTGTTTCTTTATTATTTTTGTTTTATGTCAATTTCTAAAAACTTCACTTTGTATTCATACCTAGTTATTCTCACCTGCAGTTAATAACAGAAGTAATACATTTCCCTTCTCTTTGTGTCACCTACAGGTTCATACTATGCTGTCAACTTTTAATTCTTTCTCAAGACCCATAAAAATGGGGTCCTGAGGAATTTACACCTTTTAAGCTTTAGCTCCACCACAATCTTGATAAAGAAGTTATGTATGCATGATCCATTCTTTTTAAAATTCCAGTTGCTGCTCCAGACTCCCAGAAACTTCTGTGATGTAAGAGTGAATTTCACTGCATGAGATGTGACAAAATATCGAGTATATTTAGATTTAAAATATTTAGTGATATAAAGGGTACATTTTCATTAATCCCTTTCAGAATAATCCTCTTCTTAATGAACACACTATGACATAATAGTTGCAACATTCTGAAGTAGTACTGGAAGTCCTCTCTCGAGTGTCTTTACAAGGAATGGTGAAAAAATATGAATGCTGCTGCCAGGTGCCGTCCATGAGAAAGCAGGCTCCTAAAACCATTACAGTGTGTCCTTCTCCACTTATTCATTGGATCTAGCACCATGTGGCTTCTAGCTCCTCCCCAAAGTCAAAATAATCATGAAAGGCAAATGTTTTGCATCCATTCAGAACACTGAGGCAACCATGACAGTGCACTTAAAGATAGGTAAAGGAAGACTTCCCGAGCTTGCAGAACTTCCAGAACTTTTCAGAAAGTGGTCAGAACAATGAAATAAGTGTGTGTAAGAGAGACTTTTTAAGAGGAATTAACTTGTAGTACTTTAAAATGCTTTAGGGTTTTTGATATTTTTCTCTAAATTTGAACAGTAACACTAAACACTATTTTCCACTATACCTCATCTTTCCACCAAAATTTAATCCTACATTGTAAAAGTTTAAGGTTCTCTACAAATTTTCCACTTTGTCTTACTGAACTCCCTTTAATATTAAACTGCTATACACGGTAAAGCTTTATATTTAGGGAAAATTGTCTCAATATTATAGGAGTGATATGAAAATATTGATGTCTGTGAACATCTAAAATTCATTTTTTTTACATAGTACACTTAAATTCACTTACAAAAATCCACACCAGAGTTTATCCCAATACAATCTAGCTATTGTATGGTAAGAGATCCTTTGTTGGTACTGGTCTTTCCCAGAATTCCAGAGCTAAACATTGTTTTGGAATTTAATAGTGTCCTCAACTTCTTTGATATTGAAGTAATGAAACAAACAAAAAACAATTTTTACACTTAGCTTTAAAAACATTATAGACCTTAACTAAAAACAAAACAACTAAATCAAACAAAAATACAGTTTAAGAATAATTAATAGGCAAGCAAAATCCTTTTCACGCTTAGTTTCAATTAAGTCAATGCACACACAAATTGTATTGCCAACCAGTTTCTTGTTTTGTTCCACTTTACATGGAATGGCATCTATTGTTCACTATTTTAACAGCACTTTTCATATTACATATTAGTTGTTGGTGCTCTTTTCAGTTTTCCTCAGTAGATTTTTAGGACCTTAAAAGAGAGGTTATATTTTCTTTGATTCTGTATCCCTGAATACTTTGTCATATGACTACAAGTAGTAGGATGAACAGAGAAAATATTATTAACTACTGTTTGAGCTGGTCTCCTTATAACTGGCCTCCTACCATCTCCCAGGAATTTTTACTGAAAATTTTATTTAATATATCAATGGATTTTGTCACAATCCTACCAGCTAGGTATTAGTATTCCTATTTTTCAAATAAAACTTATATCTTGTGGAACTTACTGTGCTGTTTAACTTTACATAGTTTATAAACCACTATTTTTTTAACAGATTTAAGTTCAAAGTTCATATTTTGTCACACAATGAGTAGTGATCTTTAACTAAATAAATGAATAGTTCTATAAACATATACACATGCTGTATGCATATAAATACATACTTATATATAGTCATATAAGCTGTCTTTCTCATTTATATATATTTTATGACCTATACCAAAATAACTAAGCTGAAGGGGAAGAAATTATGAATATGCTAACCTTTTCTCTCATTTTTCTTTTTATTTTTCTCAATGAAAATGAAGGTAGAATAAGTATGATTGGTGGAAAAAAAACACAAAATAATTTTAGCCCACATGATAACCATAATGAGCAAGGAAAGGGCAAGGAAAAGAGTCAATTTTAATACACTGATTTTTGCCTTAATGTGAGAATAGTGATGGTTTCAGGACAACCCATTAGGACAGGTGATCAAATTGCCTCTGCAAGGAAAAGGATGTTGACTGGCAAGGGAAATGAATCATCAAAATCATGATTACATTAAAATTCAAGTCATATGTGTTGGGGATGTAGTTCGTAGGAGAGCACTTGCCTAACATATGTGAAGCCCTATGTTGGATTCCCTGAAACATGGGGGAGGAGGGATCCATCCAAGTCATAGGATTTAATGCCATCAAGGCAACCAATTCATTTCAGGAGATTGTATTAATTAGCTTTCTCATTGCTAAGACACAATATTTTCCTCTTATAACTTCAAGAAGAAATGGTTTAGTTTAGCTTATAGTGTAACAACAAAAATCAGGCTGTATTCCACAGAAGACCAAAGGACTGCTTATGACAAAGAGAGTTTATTAATTTTAAACTGGTCACCACACATCCCCGACTAGCAGATCAGGAACATGGGGCCCCTGCCTGCCTTTGTTCCCAGCTTATATACATTTTTGGTTTCCATGGTAACAGATTGGAATGTTGTAGCCCTGGCCACACATTGTTTTCCTTGTGCCATGTGACTGGGTCAGGCTCCTGTGATGAGCCTAGCCACAATGATATATACCTTCTGTACTCTGTTCTGTATGTCCCCCTTCAGACAACCACACACTTCCTTTATGGTTACAATGTTTATCTAGGGCCAGGGAAGGGATGAAACAACCCAGGCAGGGTCATAGGTGATTATCTGGGCCCGGGTGTTCTTTGCCTTTGGAGAAGCATTCCAGGGCAAAGTCAGAACTGCAAAGTGAACTTTTTACAACCCTTCCGGGATGTTTCTCAAGACACATTTTGAGGTTTGCACTAAGACTAGAATTATTCTGTCTTCAAATGATATGCTAAAAGTCACTATCCTGTACAATAGTTTCAGGGGATTTGGTACATGATCAGCAGTCTCCACAGCAGAAACAGCACGGTGGTGGTGTAGAAATGGTTAGTTTGTGGTAGCACAGAAGCAGGGTAAGGGAACACTGCCAGGTAGAAATGGGCTACGAACCTTATATATTGTCCAAGACCACACCTCCATGATTGACTGAGACACAACAGGAGTATTCTGTATTTATCTTCTAGGCATTTCCTAATCTAATGAAGTTAATAGATCAGCACTAATAATCATGATCCACCCCTTATGAACTTCCCAAACACATCTCTTTAAATCATACTTAATGTCAAAATAGCAAATTCATAATTCTGGTTAGTATAATATAGCTATCCCACAAACAACCAGTAAACTAATAATCTCTTCTTCAAAGTCTCAACCATTCCAACATTTTTCAAAATCCAGATCTAGATCTCTCTGAGATGCAGTTAACTCTTCACTGTGAACTTCTGTGAAAACCAAAATCAAGTTACATAATCCCCATATGATGGCTCAAAGTAAACACTTCCATTCCAAAAAGGAGAGATATAGGGATAGAAAAGAATCAGGCAAAAGCAAGACCAAAAATCAACACAGCAAATACTAAGTCTTATAGGTGAATATCCAGCATCGAGGGCACCTGGTGGTAAAAGGTGAATGCCAAAGGGCATGAATAGCCTCATCCCTATGGTCTTGCAAGCTGTAACAAACAAGTTCTTTCTCTTGGGTTGGCTTCATTCATGACCTGCAGATTTTCTCACCTGATGGCCCACATTCCTGGGATCTCCAACTTCCGGGAGTGTTCACTCATCTTTGGCTTCACTCCCACTGGTTCATGCACTGCTGACTCTTGGGCCCTTTGTCTGGTCTCACAGACTTTCATTTGGAACCTCAGTGGAAGCCTCCCTGATTCCATAACTCTTGCATTCTACATGTCACGGAAACCACCATTATATGGACAATGTCATGGTCTTCTATTAATAGAAGTGATAGCCAGGCCCTCTTGGAGAATGGATGTAGTGGCCTCTGAGTACCCGGATGGCTAAGCACAGTCAAATGAATTCTGGGGAAAAAATTCCCTAGGAAGCCTTTCTTGAGCAGGGATCCAAGGGACTCCCTTTTTAAATAAAAAAATTGACACTTTCGCATCCTTGAACCTGCCATGGGTGAGATCTTGCTAATTCCTAAGAGATCCTCAAGACATTTTATTCTTGTTCCTGTATGAAGTACTTAATTTTATTTTAACACTGCTGATCTTTTTAAGTAGCCACATCTACATTGGCCTCAGTTGTACACTTTGTTCCTTCGAGCCAAAATATATGGTTCACACTTTGCTGCTCTGTAATTTACCCTCACCAAAATACAACTAAAAGTAGCAAGTAGTACCCATGACACATCCATAATGTTTAGTTGCCTTTAAATTTCTTCCACCAGTTTAATTAGTACACTACTTTTAATCTCATTATCCTGCAAATTTTCAAGTCTTAGGTGCAATGTAGACTAATCTTTGGTAGATTTTTAACACACATAACCTCTAATCCAACTGCCAATTGAGCCTTTGTTCCCCACTGAATCTGTCTAGGCAGGCGCTTTGCCGCTGAGCTAAATCCCCAGCCCCCCTGAATCTGTCTAAACCTTTACTGTCTACATTCCTGTTAGAATTCTGAACTTCTGAACTCCAACAAAAATACTTCTGTTTACTACATTCCAAGACTTCTCTAGACCCCATCACTATAACCTTTCCAAATTTCTCCCACAAAGTACTTCAAAGTGGGATCATTCCATACTACCTTGCTAGGTGTTTTGTAATTGAAGGAAGTTGATATGTCACTGTTCATTACTACTGATATGAAATAAATTGGCTTAACATACAGTATTACAACTTCTCTTGTGAATAGAAGTGATAGTATTTTCCAAAACTCTTGAAAATTGTTCTCTCCCAAGCTGGACACCTTCATCCAAGAAAATGCTGTTGAATCATGTTCTTAATTTTTTTGTCTAGCAGTTATAAAAAGATAATACTTCATGCTTTCTGGTCAGGCTTTTCCTTGTTAGATATCTAAAGACAACATATCTAGATGAGCAAAAAGTAGATTGGAAAGTATATTTTAAAAGAGCATGAGAATCACTCACTAAACTACCAAGCTCAGGATGTCAAATCTAACCATTCTCTTTGTTTGATCTTAGTCTCAGGCCTCTTAGCAGTTTTTTTTTTAAAATGAGCGTTATATACTTTTCAAGGCCAAAACGGAACCCAAAGGTGTTGTATGCATAAACTTCACAGAAGCTAAATGTGAAGTTCTTTTTTATACTCTCGACCTTAAAAAATCAGTGCAGCTGAAAGACATGATAGTGTATGCCTACAATCCCAGGTTGAGGCAGGAGAATCATGACTATGAGGCAAGTCTGAGAAACATAGCGAGAGCACATCTTTAAAAAATCAGTAGAGCAGAGTGTATCTAACTCACACATCAATACATACTCTATTGTGCAAGAAGAATGGAAGGAAAGGCCTTGAAGACTTATGCTTTCACTTACACTGTGTGTAACCCACTGCCAACTCAGTATTTTAAGGAAAATATCCTTTCACAGTACTTCCATTTGATCAGGAGAAATGGTCCTATGATTCTACATCCTTGCTTAAAGTAACAACCTTACAAAGCTGACGAGCACGGTGTTTCATGAGATAAATCTATGAAAAGCAAAGCAAAGTTAAGGAAATAAAAATTCACAGCCCATATGTAAATCAGAAGGAGAAGAAGAATGTCATATGAAAGAGAAACAATGAATTGAAATCAATGCCGTAATTTTTAAATACAATACATTTTTAAGTACCTAGGAACATAGTAGGTTTGTAATAGCTGTCATTGCTTTCTGAGATCTTTCTAAAGGTACATAATTTAATCATTCCACCTGAAGTGTCAGGCACATAAAGGTATTATTAGTTAAAATTGAATAGTAGTTTAATTTGAGATAAGAGACTTAAATTTTGTTTTTAACTATTAAAACAGATAAAAATTAAAATGAATACTTTTATAGTGTTAAATAACCACATTTCTTACTATTTTAACTTTAGCCAGTGTGATCTTCCAAAATGTATGACAACATTAATTTTGAAATGTATTAAGTTTTAACTTTTGGATCTAGATAAGTCAAATGCCAACAGAGAGACTATAACCCTTGAAATTTCTATAGGAAGTGAATTTTAGAAGTACAGGGATTGAAATAAATACTTAACCCATATTCAGTAACTAGAATACATTGTGTATCATTAGTCATTATGTATAAAGGAATGGACAAGCTCCAATTTCTATTTCCCAAGGTGTTATGGGCTGATTTGTCAGACTTATGTGTATAAACATTATACTCAATTGATTTAATGCTAACATAGATGTATGTACATGATATAAGGTAATTAATTGTTAAAACAAATATAAGCACAAAACATTATATTTATAAAGCTTTCTAAAGGAAGGGTAGTGAGCTGAATTCTAAAGCAAACATAAATGTTTTGTGAAAAAGGAAACCACCTGGCAGTTCATCACAAAGACTTCTGCTGAGAAGCATAGGGTGCTGTGCCTGGAAAGAAGCAGGAAATCACTATGGACTTACAGTGTGTCAAGCCCAAATTCCTCATGGGTACCTGTAGTTGCTTAGAATACAGTTCACTCTTCATTTCTTCAGCTTAGCTGCCTGAGAAATGAATTTACCCTCTATTGGTGAAATCATTTTTATTTGAAATTTCTCAATACTTCTAAACAAATAGTCCTTCACACTTTCAGGATAAATGAAGAGAAAAGCAAATACACATAGAAGCAGCACTACAAACGAATTAGAATTCTGAGTTAGGAAATTAAAGACATTGAAGGTATATTATGAATGTGTTACAAAAATTGCAAAATAAAGTAAACATGAGAAAATGTCTATTTTTCAGTAGATGAATAGAATTTCTAGCAATAAAATTGATATCCTAAAATTGAATTTTTTAAATTCTAAATTAAGAATATTTTGGGTGTAGAACTTAGTAGCAAGCTGAATACAACATCAGAAAGAACACTGAATTTAAGCATTTCTACAGAAATTATGCAAGTGAAGCACATAGAATAATTACAAAACAAAAATAATGACATCAAATAGCTTGTAATGGACACATAGTCCAAAACAAAAAAAGAGAAGGGATCATTTTAAGAACTTAAGAATAAGAAAATATTCAAGCAATCTCTGCAAAATAAGTACAAATAAAACTATTTTAAGCACATTATAATCAAATTACTGAAGCATATTTGTAGGAAAAAAACTCTTTAAAAGGAATTCAGATAAAGGACATTTTACATACAGGGGAGCAACAACAACAAAGATGCCTGACATCTCACCAGAAACAGTGCAAGCCAGAAGATAATGAAATGCCATCATTAAAGTGAGGAATGATAACAAGAAATAGCTGTCAGCCAGATTTCTATATCTAATGAAAGTAGCATTCAGAAATAATGACATCAGGATGGCACTTTCAAACAAAAGCTGAGAGAATTCTCACCAAATTTAAACTGCAAGAAATTCTAAAGGAAAATTCTAAGAAAATTTTCAAGCGGAAAGGAAACTATCAAAGATGGTGGCACACATCTTCAGGAAAGAGTAATGAGTATTCGAAAGGTAACTATTTCATTAAAACAATGTTTTAAAAGAGTACTAATTTTGAAAAATAGTACTAATAATGTATTATGTGATTCATAATATATGTAGAATCAAAATAAATAACACCAGTAGAAAAAAGAGTAGGTGCGCAGGTGAGGGGAATTTTACTGATTTAAAGTCCTTTTATTCAAGATGTTCTTGAACAAATGAAGAATGCATATTTTAATGAATACCTACCAGAAATATAGATAGCATAGCTTTAAAAAGAGCAGTAGCATAAATGACATAAAAGAAATAAAAATACTCTGTTAATGCAAAAAGTTTAAGAAAGTTGTTACAAAGTAAATGAGATTTAGATTAAAAAAATCATTGGATTAAATTAACTTTCTTAACTAAAATCTATAAGCAAAATTCAGAAATGATAAATTTAAATATATATGTATGCATGTACATGCACGGGTATACATATATGCATATATATCTGGTTATGATAGACATAATCTAAATATAAATATGCAGATAGGTAGAAAAAAAGGGCTTAAAAATTGCCATTTAAGTACTAACCAGAAAAAGGCAGTATGGATTAATTAGTTAGAAAATATAGTGCCCAAGGTAAAACTGTTAAAGAGAGACATTTTATAACGTTAAAGGGGTCACTCTTAAGAAAGACTTAATAGTCCTATTTGTATCTAACAGAATTAAATCAGATAACATAAAAATAGTCAACAATACAGCACCTGCATTTTTCTATCCTACAAAAAATAATTAAAAATGAAATTTATAAACAATACTTCCAAAGCTCTTTGAAATATTTGAAACAGTAAAGTAAATTTAGCAAAAAGTATGATTGATCCAACAGTGAAAACTTTGTTGACAGAAATTAAAGAAAGATGGCCTAAGTCAATTGAGAGATATATTTGTTAGTATATCAGAAGATCTAGTACTGCTGTTAGTTAAATCCAAAATGATTCTTGTATTAAAGTCAATTAAAATGACAACATGCTCTTATTTTGAGTAGACATGTCAGACTCTTCAAGACTTACTCCAAAACAATAAGGCTAAGAAAAAAAGTAATCAAGTTTTATTGTCTAGCTTGATAATTAAGGTACAATGACCTTTCCATGATTATAGTTAAATATAAATTCAGTACCCTCTAGTAGTCTCAATAAAATTTAATGGAGAAAGAATATTTTTCAAAAACTTGTTCATTAATACTA